TCAACTGTCGCGGTAAGTCAAGGAATGTCCTGTTTTCTATTCGCAACGCGCTCTAAAGTAATCCGCCATATTTTCGCCTGTTCCTTTTTTACGTTCGTCGACAGCCGCATAATGTTTTGCATATCATCTCGGAATATCTAATGTTATCGTCCCTACCAAGCGCGCACACAGTGCGCTGATGGCGGCATTATTACAGGCCGCACTTCGTGCAGCTGTTACTTATGGCGTGCGAGAATAAGTAATTATCTGTTTTGTCATATTCACGTTGCCTTGAATATCGTCGTCTACGGAGCAAGCGTTCGCCAAAGATAATTGATGCGAAATATTCCGCCACGCGGAAATTTAAAGGACTAGGTAGCGCGATGCGTTTTTACATTTCGCACTGTTGAAAGACCAATTTGCGGAATAAAGCAGCTCCTCGTGGAGGGACGATTTTCTCGATTTCTCCCTAATATGTTCAAACTCAAGAAGGCGTTAACATCGGTAATTATATTTCTTGGCGTCTGTCGGATGGCGCGAAAATATTTCTCAAAGACGAGACCTCTCGTCAGCAGAGCAAGAAAGGACGATCGATCGTTCATGAGAAACATTGTTTCACGTATTCGAAGTTATTCAAGAAAGTTCGAGAAATCGTTTTATCTTGGAGGGTTGTTTTGTCTGTCCAATTCTATCTTTCAGCATCAAGCAAATATCATTATCTCCTGGACGCGCCCTCGAGCTGCCCTACATTCCTGCACAGTCTCCGAGTCTTTTTCATTCTTGGGTCGTGCCGAACGTTTTTCATTCTGGCTTAGCTCATTCCTCAGAGCTCTTCACGAATCATGACTGTCTCCCATTATGGCTGATTAACGGTCCATTAGCATTTAAGAAACGTCAAGAGGACGGATCGCAACATTTACGGGCATTTCGCGCAAAAATTAAACGCGGAGAGTTAATCCTTTAATTCTTCACCGAGTGTATCGGACGGCGAGATACTCTGCCGGCAGGGCTTTAACTAAATTCGAGAAAATATTTTGCAACAGACGATTGCATCCGCGTATTTGCGCATTTCCGTAGGTTTAGTTAAGTTTCTCGCCGATCTTGCCGCCGCTTCTTGTGTCTCGTGGTTTTTGCGCGCGCTGCATGGCTGCCGCGAATTGTTGTTTCCCAGTTTCCGTAATCGTTGTGTAGGATTGTGTGTCGGGACGAAAAACTTGCCGCTTATCATAAGGAACCGGAACATCTTGCCACGTGACCGCGATTCCTCTTGCATAGTCGCTTGATATCGCAAACGTGGCAAATACGAGCCGAAATTACAGCGGTTCGCATAAATTAGTTTTAGTCCTTGTACGATAATCGTATGACTGCATAAATTCACGCAAACGTCACTTTATTTCCGAGTACTACATTAACGCTAGCTATCTGCGATCCTCGATCTTTCGCTTTTACCTTCCGAATTTTGAGCGAAATGTGATCTTGCCAAATCGGACTGTCGTGCAAATCGTGTCGGATTCCTGAATACCTTCCTGGCGAAATCACCTTTCGTAACATATCACTACGAATTTACGCTACGTTCCAACTCGTAGAAGTTATCTCGTGCGAATGTTCCGCAGAAACATTCAATAAGCATTCAGAACGGGATTCTTCGAGATTTTAATTAGAAGAAGCGCGAACAAAAATGTTTTGTAAACATTAAGGCAAAAGTACCAACTCTCCAACACACGTACTCAATTCTGAACATTCTTATTACTTTGGCCTTTAAATGCAAATATTTAAACGTTCTACATAGAATATATGTATACATTCAATATATGTATATATATAATAAATATAAAAATATATATAAAAAAAATATATATATAATATATATAAAAAAACTATAATGTATATAAAAAATATATATTTTGTGTTGAAAGCTTAAATATATTTGTATTTAAAGACCAACATAATAAGAATGTTCAGGATTAGACATTAGATGTCCGGGCGTTAGTATTTTCTAACCTTTCCGATTTTGTTTTATTGAATAAGTTTATTATCAAAGGCAGGGAAAATATATGTCTTGTTAATAGCGAAATAATTAAATACTGATTGTTTTCGATATCTACTGAAAGATTTCTAAATATCACACTCGAATAAAATCTCGTTAAATCTTATCGACTAGTACAAATATCTCTACACGAAATAATTCGAAATGACAGTGGAACGAGTTAGCTAGCCAATACAAAATGAACTTAACCGAGTAGTGGGATAATGTATGTACAATAAAAGTTTTACGATTGTTTGTCGTTCGAATTTGCTCAGCTGGCATCCAGCTAATCCTAGTCGATTGTTCACCGTTAAAAATTTAACGATGTGCTAACCGGTCGAAGTATCCTTCGTCGCAGCTGGAACACGATCGTTCAGCACATTCTACACTGAGAGAAAAGACTGGTAACTATAACAAACTGCATTTAGTTACAGAAATTCATTGAATCCTTAGTAACTAATACTAAATATGATAATAATTACCAAATATTTAATAGATCGGGAGTATGACGTAATTGCATTCACAGTAACATCAATTAAATAATTTAGTAATAGTTACTTAATGTTAAATATTTAAATATATTACAGTTATGAACAGATACTTGATAATTGTTATGAAATCGTTATATCCCATATAATAAAAAATTCAGTAGGTACGAGTTCTATTTTGTTACCAGTATGTTTTGTTGCAGCAGAACGAAAAATTCATTCATTTGCAGCTATTACATCGTTTCTATATATATAATCGTTTCTAATATCTATTAGTACAGATAGTTGGTTGAACCTACCAAAAATTTTGTAACTATTACAAAATCGCTTATTTTGCTCAACTATTCAATAAGTTGTATTTACCAAATATATTCTGGAAGCAAATAAATTTTACTTCTGTCAAATAAATAATTTATTTTACAGAACTAATTAATTAATAAGTATTGCCATAGCTTTGGCCCGCTATATTTACGTCTATCTTTAGTAATAGTAACCAAATTTTGATAATATTTACTAAATTCTTCTCTCAGTGTACGAGATAGGAGCGTAAGATCTTTATTACGAATGTCAACTGTAGTGGGTGCTGCGAGTGTCACCGAAGGATAGAATGTCATCTCAGTGCGGCGCGGTACAAATCCCGCGTCTGATATAGAGAGGTAGACCTCGTTTTCTTCCCGATGATAGTAATCGATAGCGATCGCGTGTTTCGCTTGACACTTTTATTATCGCGGATTTATGGATGGACAACTGCTCAACTGTGACGAAGACGGCGGCGATAACAGCAGCAGCAGGGAAACTTTATTATCCCGTAGTCGAGAAGTTACTCCGCGCACGCGCGCACGCACGCAATAATAAATCGTAGATTTTTCGTCAACTCTTTACCGGAACTATATTTTCGAAAGCGAAGTTTAGAAGGACAATTTGTATAAGATTTTCTTCCAAGAAAATATTCAATATATATATTTAAATGAAAGAGAGAACTCAAAGAAAATATTCAAATGAAAGAATTTTTTAAATTGAACAATTACAAAATCTCCTCGGTCTACGTACAAACGCAAATTAGCGACTTTTGTCAATGTCGTTCCTCTAAATTCGCCCCTTTTTTTAAACTTCCAATGCTTATTTCTCAAAAAAGATGTCGCTGCTTCCACATAATATACAAATATATTTGTATAATTATATATAATGTTACTATTGACTCTCCCTTCACCGTACGAAGCACTTCTCGTCGAAGTATCAGAGAAAATCTTAGTTAAAATTACAACAACCCCTTCAACGCATTAGAACGACGAGGATCACGAAAACTTGGGGAGACTCAAGACTTAAGAACAGGAAGCAATATCTCACTCGCTGCGATTTATTTTTGTTTGTGCGCCTCGAGGGTGCTTTTAGTACTAGTACTAAAAATATCATGTCGACAGATATCCGATAAAATTATTTCTGTGCCAACTTCTGCGGTAGAAACGTCGGCAAAACCACAGTGAGAAAATTGGGCTACTTCGAGGAGAAATTTTCCAATTATTCTGTATTAAATGACTCCGATGCTTCTTGATTCTGATGAGCAAGCAGCTGTAGTCTTAATGCGATATAAATAACATATACAAATGAGAAACAAGACTTCACATTAGACTCGGGACAGTGTTTCGGATCGATGTGTTAACAATCTTTTACATTGAAAAAGCAGAATCACGTGAAGAAGGCTTCCTCAAAGTCTATGATGCAGCCGTAGTCAACAATATAGGAAATAGTCGACGGTTCTGATAAGTTCTTTCATTGGTAGCTTTGCCGACTGTAGAATATGGGATTCAATCCTAGTCAATCTTAAGGTAGAAATTGGTCTATAGATAGCAATGGAACTCAGTCGTAACAAGAATGGATGATATGTGCAATTTCGACAGTCAGGAGAATCGTTGTCTCACATATATGCTGTTGATCTCTTCGTAAATTGAGTCCTTTTTTTATTACGAGAAGAATCTATATTTCTTACGTAAATACTGTTTCTCAGATCTCCGCTGAATTACATGTAACTGCCGGATTCGTTATTGAGCGTGGACGAAGTGAATAAACAGAATTCTTTCTTAAGTTATACTTGGCAGCAAAGAAGCATCGTTTGCGAGTCGTCCGCGTGACTTGGAAGCTGCGAGCGTGTAATTAATTGCGTAACGCTGGATTCTTCCCAGCTATTATTGGCGTGAGAACGGAAAGAGCGCAGTAGAGAGAAGAGGTGTTTCATTATACACATATAATACGCGCTTCATTTCGGATGGAATAAATGCATAGATTATACGTCACTTTGATGTAGTGGAGAGAAATTTATAATTCTCGACCCGCTTTCTAAGTGAATACTACCACCTCCCCTTCCGCCCCGACTATCATATCGATCTCTTTGGTAGGAATAGTTAAAAAATTTGCAACTTTTTTCTTGCTTTCCACGTTTTCTTCTCTTTATAGGGTAAATAGGTTACCTTTTCAGGGTAAATTTTGAGGGTTTAGAAAATAGATTACGATGAATATAATAAATTGTTTAAGAATTCCATATACGTGACATTCTTCTTAGTAACGTAGAATATACGTAGATCGTTTCATTTTCAAATACAGTTCAGTTTGTCAACAATAACTGTAGCACTCAGGAAAATTTGTAAATAGTTTCTCAGTATTCTCGGGACAACCACCAGCTGTACTATTTAAACTGTGTACGGAAAAATATCTTATTTCTGTTAAAAGGGTATCACATTTTACACACGTATTATCTTCAAATTGCAGTCACAAAGTATCCGTTATTTTCCGGCAAGCGAGATATATCAGCACAAACAATTCTATAAACAATTTATATACGTGATGAAATGAAATACGTGATGAAATATACCCGCTCTTGAATAGTTTTATTAATTATAATAATTTCTTTTGTTCAAAGATCGTTTAACTGTGATAAAACAGTCAATAATTGTATTGATAGAAATTAGGACTAGAATTAGAGATAAAAAATAAAGACATCTCTATCCCTATTTATTATAAGCGCAAACGTAAGCAAAAGCTTACATCCCTATGTTTTACCACGATTTAAAGGGATGCACATAATTATAATGTCTGTTTTTGCGTAGCAAAAGAGTGCGTGAAAAAATTAATTGAACCATTAGTATGTGGCAAAAACGATAAAAAAATATATACAAGATGCCTGACGCAACTCGTGTAAAATTTTATTCCAGTATAAATAGTATAAAATTTCTGCGGTTTGTGTCGCAAGCGACAATTTCGACTGTTTATAATTATTTACAACGTCTCATATCGCTTTGAACTCTGAAGACAGTCGCTTTAAGGACCATGCGGGATCCTTAAATTCTAAATCACCGGCTGCCAGGACCTCGCGGATTTTACCGTCTAGTCGAACACGCGGAGCTTCGATTGTGGACCTCGTCCGAGGAATCGTATTTGCCCGGATGAGATTCCTTGTGTGCATTGCAATTCCTTGTGCGTATAATAAATAACTATAGACTCGTTTAAACAAAAAATTGCAAGCGAACGTGAACGAATCACAGACCGCTGATAGCTATAGAAACAGTATCGTCCGATCTCTTTGTGGATGATGTGCTCTCGTTGCTGGGCTGTTGGTAAGCTAGAAGATGTCCCCGTTCAAAGAGAGGCTCCGACGACATATCCTCTTTTCGCAACAGATAAGCGTTATGAAGAGGAGCATCCTCTGTATTTACGTTATTCCTGCTTGTATTCTTAGCGTTCTCCTCTCCGCCCGACATGAAGCGAAACATTTCTCTGACGCGAGCAACGGCATGCCTAAAAAACAAATATAACGGTTAAACTGTTAAACGGCAACATGTGGGCTTAGAGAAAAAGATACGGTGATGACAACTATATAGGTGACAAATATACGAATTTTATATGTAGAATTAATATGTGTATAGTTCAGTGAACTATTTTAGAATTATATTTTGCCAACAAAGTGTTAGTATTACAATAACTACAAAATTGTTTATTCAATTATATACAATTTTACGTACTAAACTCGTATAGTTGTCGCATACAAGCTGTTCATCGTAACGATATCCATTATTTTTTACCAGTTACAATAATTGGGTAGGAGAAAATTCTAGATGCAATTAATCAGCTTTTAAATATAATTACCACTACCATATTTTGTTTTGAGCGTATTCACGCAGAATGTTCGGTGCAAAGAGGACCGAAAATCTCTGACAAGTATGTGAACATTTTCCGTTAGAATCCGCAATAATTTTTCAATATTGATGTTGTATTAGTTTGCAATACCTCCGTAATTTAAGAGAAACAATCTCGACTATAGACAGCTCTCTCCAATATTTCAATGAAGTAAATCAATGAAGTAAATCAATGAAGTAAATCACCGGTTTCGAGAATTTCAAACTTAACATTCATACCTAATGGAACACATAAGGCTTCGATCGTGGGCTTCTCTCGTGGAATCGCATCTGCATAGACGAGGTTCCTTATCCATCGAGATTCCGCTGGCCGTTCTTCTCGTTCTACAGCATATCGTTTGCTTAAACGCCTGGCGATATTTTATACTCATAACATTGTAGAGGATAGGATTCACCGTAGTACTGAAGTAATACAGGCAGCCGCTCACGATGTACAGCCATTCATTTAAATCCGGATAATAATCGGATCCCAGCGCGTGCACGTAGAGTAATCGCTGGACGTGAAACGGCGCCCAGCAAATAAAAAACATGATCACGACCACACCTGAAATGGATCGCGCCGTGAATTTTCATCTCGCGTGAGAGGTTTTCATTCAGAATCACTTCCAAGTTTTTCAGTTTATTATATGATATATACGATATTTATATGGTCCATAATATAGTCATTACTTAAAACTTGTCCCACGTGAGATATTCAGATATGAATTTAGACTTTTTTATTTGAATTACACGATATATGCGACATTACATTTACAATCGCGATTCAGCTGAAGGATTCACATCTAATAATTGACTCAAATATATAGCATTCGTTTAAAATAATATATATTTAATTATTTGCTTCAATATATTATGATTAATTTATTAGAAAAGAAAAAGAAATACTACGATATCGTACTTAACATCCTAATGACAGACTTCCTGGATTGCATCTGCCGATATTCGCCGTGAACGGAACCCGGTATTGGACCTAGTGCATCCTTGGTACTGCTCCTGATTTTCAATCCCATCTTCACGTACACGAACAGAATGACCAACATCGGTATCAGGAAAAACACGACAAAGCTGAGCTCATAAAGGGGAAAACTCGGCATGTTGGGCAGAAGCATCGCGCAGATCGCCGAGTCGGCCGAATAATTGCCAGATCCTGAACAATATCTGATGTTACATATATAATTTACTCACTTTGTGATAGCTTTAGTTTATAGTTCTAGAAGTTCGGGCAACGCCGGATAATCTAAGCTAGTCGTAAATAAAGTAAACTTTGACTTAACCTGGTGGATATTCGATGAAATTGACCTTGGTATAAATCGCGAACGGGATAGCCGCGACTATCGCGATCGACCAGGCCGCGAAAACGAAACGTGCAGGTCTTTTGAGACCGCTCATCGAATAGGCACTCAGCGGATGACAGATGGCCAAATACCTCTCCATAGAGAAAGCCACTATCGTGAGAACTGACACGTAGGACGACCTGCGGAGTGATGTCCGGATTTAGGACATGTGTTGAATCTCGAAGGGATATGTAGGAAGTAGAGACGGTGTTATTTCTTACATCTCCGACACGTATGCCCTGATCTTGCAGAGGCCCGCGCCCAGCGCCCATGGATATTGCTGCCAGAACACGCTTAGCTCGTTGGGGAGACCTGCAATAATTAATTAGCGTCAGCGAACAACTAACTGATGAATATCTTCTGAAAGAGATACGGCGCGTTCGGCTGACAACGCGTCTGGCAACTGAAAATTTCTCTTTTCCGCTAATCTGATTTTTACGAATATACAACGCGTACTACAATGGATAACGTAGAATACCGCGGACTCTTAACTAGTGGCGAAATTCCCATGTTTTTCCCGTCTGGATTTGGCACACAGTGCTCGAATTTTTGCTTAAACACGTCCATGTTTCCGATTACATTAACGTGGTTGGCGTCGACGTCAAAGTTTCGTACGACACGCTTCTCTACCTGGATAAAACGCTCAACAATTTCAGGAGAACCTCGCGAATTAATTTTCGGAAAAGCGAATTTATGACAGACTTAAGCTCGGCTAGTAATTGGCGTGAAATCATCGTCACCGCATCGCAACAATATTAACGAGATTGCGGTTTCTCACACTATGTGTGTACACACGTTAAAATAACTTTCGCGTGTTACCTACGCCAGAGACAAATGACTGAATATCCATCGCACGTTCCGTCGAGTCGAGTAAACTCAATAAGTTTTCATTGGCGCGGACCCTGTATATATATATATATATATATATATATATATATATATATATATATATATATATATATACAGGGTGAGCCATTTTAATCGACGGATCCAAATTGCTCCTAAAATACGCCAGCTACAAAAAAATGATTAAGACAAGAATTCAGATCGATTTTCAAGGTTATTCGAACGTCAAAGTCATTTTTTTTAATTAGAACCCCTATTTTTGACACCGGATTCGAAAAGAGCAGAAAATTTTACGTTAAAAATGATATTTAGATTTTTTTTCTGAGTCCAAGAAGGTCA